AACAATCAACACAGAGCGTCTGCTTAATTAATTAATTCGTAAGCATGTATACATAAACATATATATATATATGTATGTATATATATACCGGGCCGTCGTGAGAAAACTCGGGCCCGGACTGAAAAATCACGGGCCCTTACACATAAACTCTAATAATTCAAAAGCATGGGATCAATTGAGAGTTTAAATTTAGGGTTTCTTTAATGTATAGAGTCAGAAATATTCAGCACTAATCGGAATATGTATATTTGTGATAAAAGTCTATGACAAAGGAGTAGTATCTAACGGAAATATTGAAAAGTATTTGTTCCTATAATGGAAAACATGGTTATTGAAAGCAAGCGCATTGATCTCTTTCAAAATTAAATCGTAAAAAACTAATAATAAGTTATGGTACTGGGCCCTGGAGGACTCCCTCCCCCCTCTCGACGAGCGTGTATATACTATATGTATACATATACATATGTGTTTGAGCGTGTGTGCGAAGAGCTCTGCATCGATGTCAAATTTGCAGGCGCTTTGGGTGCATAAGTGTCTGGTGTGCCAAACAGCAACAAAGCAATTTCCACGCTGACGAGACAAGCAGCTTGAGTATGTTGTTGCCATTAACCACATCACAGGGGAGGTTCTGCCATGTCATTAGCGGTAACAACAATAAACTATGAAGTTTAATTTTTTTTACCACAAACATTGGTTTATACACCCACGCTGGCAAATATTTAGACAAATATATTTTTTCTTCTACTTGAATGTCGCTGTAACTGCCTAAGCGATTTTGGCGAAGACCAATAAAGCATGTCAGCCGTTTCTATTCTGTGCCAACTGACGCCATTACGAAATGCCAAGTGAAGAAAAGTGCTTCCCCACCTGAAGGCCTTCCTCACCTTCTGCTACTGGCAGTGCGATCCGCGTTGTATATTTTCTAAGCTGGAGCAACAGTGTCTATTTGTACGGCATGGCCTAACCAACGGAGCCGCTGTATTTTAATACGCTGCACTACGTTCAGCGTTGTAAAGCTCCACCAGGTAACCGTTTCATCGTGTGCCCTCGCCAACGCGTAAAGGCCCGTAAATCCTCCTCGGGATATTTCTCATTAACACTTGAAGAGGGATATTATCGAGTGTTGTCATTCTCCTCACTTTTGCATCCTATACTTCCACAATAAGCGAAGAGCTTTTATGTTTTGCCAGAAGGTACTTTTCTGTTTTCGTTCGCCGCTAGGCCGATCACATTTGCTTCTTTTTCTTAGCTGAAAAAGGCTTCGCTGACGGCCCTAGGCTTCGGGCCAATGATATCAATATTATCAGATTGGTAGCTCTTATGACGCTTTGCAGCATTAGCATGAGAAAGTATCAATTTTAACGGATCTGAATCTTGTACTCAGCGTCACTCAATATAGCCGTATTAGTTTACACACAGGTACCTTCTCTTCGTGTATAAAAGTACCCAAACCCTTGAGGTCAGCTGAGTAAGTTCACTCCCGTCCAGAGGAAGGGGGGAAGGGGTGAATCCTCCAGGCCCGGTCTTCTTAAGGGCTCTGAAATATCAGAACATCAACTTGTTATTTTTGTTTGCAATGTTATAGGGTTTCATTATAAACTAAATAGTGTTCGCCCAGCGGTTGAAATTCAATCTTTTAAATTAAGGGGAGTCGAGGTGGGCTGAGCTGAGTCGAGCTGAGTTTAATTGAGTTGATTGAAGTGAATTAAGGTGAAATGTAACAACATAACATAACACAACCCAACACAACACAACACAACACAACACAACACAACACAACA